TCCACATTTTTTCCCCTGATGGGCTCAGAACCCACAAGGCAATTTTCTAGGTATGAATATAGTGCCCTAAAGGATTGATACTGATTTATTTTTATATACAATCTTGATTTCCTAAATTCTGGACAATGAAACCGATCCCAACCGTGTTCGGGCCCATTTCTTCTCGGTGATTTCAGTATAAAAAGCCATGAGGTGCGTATACAGTGAATGTTTATTATTGATGATTCAACAGTAACAGATCCAGGACCGGCATAGTTGGGCGGCACTCGACTACCTATTTCATTGATGGAAATACATTTTCATTTATTATAATTAAAAAAATGTTTGCTTTCAACTGCAGAATAATTTGATATTCTTGTAGGGAAGCGTGTTTTAGGAGTCACCATAGTTTATTTGGCACGCCGCCCAGCCCCTTAGAAATGTATAACAAATACCCGCGAAGAAAGTGCAGTGATCGCGCGAGTTACATATTCCTTTCCAGTGTGGGTACCACAGAGTGCTGTCTCAAAGGCCAAGGCAACGGTTGCACACTGGTCTGTCATTCGGGGAATTCGGGGAATATGGAATTTCATGTAAAGAAAATAAAGGAATAACAACAGATTTTGGTAAACTGTAATTGATTGTAATCAAACCTAGATATTTGAACCCTCAAAACTTGACGTGTATATAAATAAAACTCTGCGTAATTGAAACAGTTACATTTGGACTCTTTCACTGCCCGTCTTCCTTTGCCTTCAGCGGACCTCCTTAATATTAATAGATGGCTCCATCACGGTCCAGACTGGTCTGCCCGAAAAAATACAGGGAGATTTTGACGGCTGAACGCAACGCACACGTTTCAGTTGTAACACCTTTGTTGCACCGTTGGGTGACCCATGCCCACGAAGACACGGGACGTCTCTTTTGTGAGAATTTCTCTTAAAAATATATGAAATTATTCTGCAGTTGAAAGCAAACAAACTTTAAATTTGTCATTATAAAAAAAATAAAATTTATTTCCATCAGTAAAACAGGGAAGCGAGTGCCGCCTTCCTGTGCCATCCCTGGATCTGTTACTGTTGAATAATAAACGTTTGCTATACACCTCACAGCTTTCATACTGAGATCTCTCAGAAGAAATGGACTCGAACACGGTTGGGATCTGTTTCAAAGTCGGAAAGTTAGGAAATCAAGAATGTAGAAAAAAATAAATTAGTATCAATCCTTCAGGTCACTATACTCATACCGAGAAAATTGCCTTGTGGGTTCTGCGCTGCAGGGAAATGAAAAAAAAATCTGATGTGGGAAAAATCCAAAAGTTATGCGGTGTTGACCAAGCGTTCAGGTGCACGGACTCCTGAAATTCGCAAGGAATCGCAGTTACCGGCTTCCATATAGGAATCTTCTGGGGTCTTGGGGTTCCCGGCCCACCGCACTTCCTCCCTGCCCATCCATTTAACCCCCAAAAGGGTTCGAGCGACCATGCAAGGGAGGAACGAGACAAGCCCCTAAGCCCTTGCCGCCGAGTCGGCCATGCGTCTCCAACCTATGCTAAGGCGCTCACCTGGACTTCGCGGACAGTCCCGGCAGAAGAGCTCACCCGCTCGGCTAAGGTACTCCTGGTATTTGACGGGGGGCGAATTGGAGTCTCTTATAGCTACTGACCGGGAGCACGGAATGGAAAATAAAAAGCCACCCCTGGGATTCGAACCCACGGTCTAACGATCGGCCATTTCAGAGATATCACCTTTCGCTCTTCATATAAAGTAGATAACAAAACCAGTATTAACCTTTAATACTGCACAGAATGTTGTCATGTAAAGACTGAACGCTACATTATTGTGCACAATAAAGCACAAAAATACACATTCAAATACACAAACTATGGTTGTCAACATTAAATGTTCTCCCTGACTGTTAATATTTTTGACTTACTGGCACTTCCAGCTACTTACACTATTTGCGCTCATAATTATGCGTTTATTCATAACCTTTATTAATCAACATCACATTACAGAGTTAGGAAGAGGTCCAGTATTAGAGGCAGGACTCCCTGACTGTCTACCCGCCCGAACTCTTCTACGATGTGAATGACACGCCATCAGCGGGAGGCTCTCTTGCTTTCTCTACTAGCATAAAATGACAGCCGAATCAGCAACCCAACAGTTCTGCTTAATAACATGTTGTGTCGTCCTGTGTTGTGGATCTGCTCCGTGAAGAGAACCTCTTTACACCAAATAACGATGTACCCAATACCTACAAATGCTATTTTTCATTTAAACCTGGCACAAATCATCGGGGAGGCCTTTTATATTTATTAGAGTTTTATAGGCAGGCCAGAGCGTTTGTGCGTATTTGAGGAACCACGCATGTACCCGTTTCTATAAAGTTCTTGTAGGGCCTATAGAGGGATCCCAATACGACGCTTTTAGCGTCGATCTGCGCACTTCCGCGTTTGAAAACGAGGCTGGATGTGTCAGCTTCAATTCCTAATACGATCAGACGATTGAAAGTAAGAAGTCAAGACACAAAATACATAAAGGTATGTTAAATTCAGACTTTTCAGGCTGCAAGTTTTTGTTGAAGAATCTTTCAGAATGACTCGACACGTGAAATCAAAGGAAAAAATAATGGCAATTTACCGCGAACGAACGTACCTGCGATGGCCGTGCATCTTGTGCAGTGGGCGTGGTTTAAACTGAAGTGGTATCACACTTACGAACCGGATACTGCATGTACTGTGTCAACTCCGCGGGCGCGCGAGGAAGTTCAACACAGAGAGCCTCGGTTTCGATGCGGATATGCGCAGACGACGCTAATGTGAAATCCAACTATTGGGTGCCCTTAAATACGGGCATTAGACCTTTTTCCTCCGATTCCCGTCCTGTGACGTCACAATCGTGCTATCATGACCGCGATGTATTGTGATGGTAATGAAAATCTGCCCTAAGCGGGACCAAGACAGGGCGTTATTTATTTATTTTTTTTAGCAACGACAGAGCTGAATAGACAGATGCTGGGCAACGGAGGCTCCCTTGTTTGGAACAACACTTCGCTGGCCGTTGCCAAAATCAAGTTCTCCTTAACTAAAAATTCCAAAATTTGATCTACGCATTTAAAGATAACGTTGAGAATATTCGCCATTGCAGTTCGAATTCGTCCAATCAAGGCGGCGCAGAGTTGCGGCATTCAGAAATCGAATTCGTCTTGTGTCAATCTCTTTAAACATTAAGCCCCCATTTCACTCAAGCACAACTGGAGGCATTTGTTCACACACTGCAAAGAAAACGTGACGTAATCTAAATAATACACACATATATATTTATCAATATCAAGCCTTAGAGAACAAATTGGCCGATCACAGAAGAACAGTTAAAACATATGAATGTAGTATCCTCATGAGATGCATGTATGCATTCTACTGAGTTGCAGAGAGGTTTGACGATATGGCGCGAATATAATAATTATGATCAAAATACAAGACGGAAAACGTATTTTGGGGGGATATAACTAAGAAACAATGAATAGATCTCATCGAACGAACTCAGCTGAGAATCGCACAAACGACCTTTGGAAAAAATGTATATCGTGAAACGAACTTGAAAAAAAATTGAACTTCATAAAAACTACCCCCCCCCCGAAGTATACTTCACTTTTTGGAAACAATAATTATATACTTCATGGCATTACAGGGCTTTTGTACGCTGCCAATTAAACCATGAGCCCAGTGGACCAAGAGTAGGCGCAGTTTTCCTAGTACTGAACGGGGGCTCCCAAGGTGGAAATTGCACTTCACTGGTTCACAAACAACTATGAATGCACACGTTACGGAGGTGTCGCTACCAGGAAAATGAACGCTCCCCGACGAGCATGGCTCTTTTTCAACCGATGAGGGGGTGCTTCTGCTCAAGGCGGATAGCCTGCCAGTAGTCGGTGGCCAGTAGTCGGGCTTAGTGTTTTTCAGGATACCAGAGGACTGGTGCAAGTCTACGGCCGTATCCGGAACGGACTTCCAGATAGAGCTACGGCTAGGTCTATTGTCTATGCGTCTCTACGCGTTTCCAATGGAGCGAAGAACTAGACCTAGCTCTATACAAGAGATTCGGATGCAGCCTACTGCAGTGGCTCTTGCAAAATGTGACGGGCATGGGCGTGGAGGGTAAACAAAGAGCTGCGCGCGCAGCTTCTTGTTTTGGTAGTCAGCTGATCTGGGTGGTTATTTTTACGTGTTGTGAAACGGTTATTTGTGACGCAGTCGCTGGAGTCGTCTGCTTATTAATCTGTCTTATCTGTCAGAGGACTGCTGCCGTTTGCACCCTACACAGATTTGAGGGAGATTTGCTTAGCGGTTGCCGAGCAGTGAAACCTGCTGCAGTTGTCTTAGTCTTCAGTACTTTTGAGGAACGAGTTCGAAAACCAAGGTGCGTGAGCTGGTTTCACTTTCATATTTTTCTTGTTCGCGTGAAGGAAACATCGCCCAGTACACAATTGCGTGTTTTCAATGCTCGTCTTCTGGTAGTTGTATTATTCAGCGTAGGTATGTACGTTTCTATGATATGAAAGCCCAATCGTGATAATCAAGTATAATATTGAAATAAAGTTTCAGCCTGACACGTACTAATTCGTTCTAAGGAATTACTTACCCTAAATAAGGAATTACTAATCCGAAATAACAAAAATTACTAATCAGAAATAAGGAGTTACTCATTCGAAATAACGAATTACTTGAGCCTCCAGATGGCACTGTTTTGCGTGGGTTCCCATGTGATTCGAGGCATACATGCTTCATACTTCTAAGGGTGAACCATAAATTCCCAATGATAAATCCTTGCATTTCAAAATTATGTTTCAAATCCAACTCACAGATGTCCAAGTTGGGTAGCAAAATCATGTTTGACATGTCTTTCAATTTTCTTTCGATTTTTAGTGAGTTTACCAATAAATTTTTAAGAAATTCTCACCTGAAGCAGACCACCCCTAAAATAAAGGAAATTTCTCCGCGGAAAAGTAGCCATTTTGAAAATGCATCCCTCTGCAAAATGGCTAAATAGTGCCACTTTCAGACCCGACTGCATCCAAATTGCTCAGAATTGGAAGCCCAGAGTCCGGGCAGAGGTTCAGTGCCATATTCTTCAATTCCCCAATTTCATGGCTCTCAGGATTCTCTAATTATATAAAATAAAATATAATATAAAACTTTTATTAATGAGCTTGGCAGACATATTTCTGGCCCATTTGAGTAGGTGCTCCCCTAATCGCATACATCTCTGATTCCCATGGCTATGGTCGCCTAGTGCCTGACGTATCTGTTTGATATGGAGAAATGAACAACACCATCTGTATCTAGGGGCTTTGTTGATCTGTGTATTCAGTTTTTCAAATTCATAATTCATAATTTTGAATTCTTAATTACGAATTAGTAATTTTATTTCAAATTAGTAATTCGTTAAAACAAATTAGTGTCAGGCTGTAAATATATACTTATTTGGCACAATCGAGCTTTTGTAGTTTCTTACTTCTTGTAGAAAAAAATTGTGTAAATTCTGCCTGTTAAAACATATTTAGGGACGAATATTCCATGCATACCTCCAGCATGTCCTGTCCGAGTATAGGACTCTCCAATTCGCCTCTTTTAACATTTGAACATTTCTCTTTTCTCAAACGTTCTATTTTCTTCAACTGTACATGCCTTGGGCTAAGTAAATTTTCAGAAGCCAGTGAACAAATCTTTCTCCGAAACTTTTTCCAGTGAGCACATTTGGGTTCACAGTTTGAACGTGTTGGACAAAACTTATAAAATGAGGGAAGCTTAGGATTGCCTGACATACTAAACATGTAGACAACATCTTCTTTGCACGCACATGTGAGTAGGCGTATAAAAGGTGTAAAACCATCATGATTCTAAGATACATGTATGTATGGTCTAGAGGATAGTGCATGTGTCTTGTAAGAGTGAGAGAGAACTTTTTCACCCTTGGTTCCAACCCCAGCTCGTGACTTGTATTTTCATCCTCAAAATGAACAATATTCTGCTGTTGTTGTTTTAAAGTGACTCCAACATTTAATGAGAGAGTTTTACATTTTCAAGTGTTCTCAACACCAATGCTGAATCTTTTAAAAGCAGAAAAACACAAACAAAAAAAAACAAACAGACCAGCCAAGCCAATGAAACATACCTCAAGCTAATGCCCTCCATTTTTGTTAAAAAATACCTATTTACTCCTTTTGTTGCCAGAATTCCAGACACATTGAATAACGCATCCTCACCCTACGGAGGTGCGACAGGAAGAAGTGCATCTCAGCACAACTTGTTCCACCAGACCTTGGTTTTTTTTTCAGTTTCTCCGTGTTCTCATTCATCATGTATTTCTGCTACCCCCCGTGGGTCGTAAGCGTGAGCTGATATTGGTATTTTCAGTTTTGAACTTTGCGAGAGCGGACAAGAAATGCGCAACTTCCGGAGCCGACAAGATTTGTGGAAACAGCAGCTTGTGTGCAGGCTGCACATGAACAAGAGACAATTTTCGATATCAAGGCTGCCTAAGTATTACTTCGTGAACATAGAAAAGACCATGGCAAGCCAAGTGATACTCAGAACTACCAGGGAGTTGATTCTCCCATTAAGAAATATATCTAACAATAAACACTCCATTTTAGCCATGAGTAACTAGGATTTTCCATATTGGCTTGCTTGTTTAGTGTTGCATGATTTTTTTGCGTGAATCAGCTAGATGAACTTCTGTTGATGCCATTGGATAAAAATGAACCAGAAAAACGCGGGGAAACTTGTGGAGGAAGGACAGAGTGGAATGGTGACGGATGTGGATGTGCTGATCCTTGGGGCAGGTGCGGCGGGGCTGTGTGCGGCCAGCACTTTCTTGAAGCGGGGTTTTGACCGGTTTTTGGTGCTGGAGGGCGCGGGTCATGTCGGAGGGCGCGTCCATGATGTGGAATTTGGCGGGGTCCGCGTGGAGAAAGGGGCCAACTGGCTGCAGCCTATCGAGGGCCCCATGGCCAAGATTGCAGAGAAGGTGGGGCTGGAGTGCCAGCAAGGGGACTACAGCCAGCGAGGAGTGGTGGTCCGGAGCGAAGACGGGGAGGTCATTCCCCAGTGGGAGATGGAGGAGCAGGCCAGCGAGCTCTGTGACATCCTGGTCGAGGCTGGCGAGTTTGCAGCCAGTACCCCACAGAGCAATCTGACCATGCGGGATTTTATGGCAGAGAGGGATTGGTTCAGTTCGTCGGATGCCCTCCGAAAGACTATTGAGTGGTACATCTTTGAATTTGAGTACACGGTCCCACCAGAGGAAGCCTCGGTTGATGTCGGGCATTGGGATCGTTTGGGTAATTCGGGATTCGTTACTGACCAGCGAGGCTTCAAAACCATTTTCTCTGACGTGGTTGCCAATCTGGTTCAAAAGAATCTTCTCCTGTTGAATAGTAGGGTTGTCTCAATCGACCAGTCGCAGATTGAAAAGGTTTGCGTAGTGTGCGCAGACGGCTCTGTCTTCCGGGCAGATGCCGTGCTGCTCACTTTCAGTCTGGGCGTGCTGCAGAATGGCCTGGTAGCGTTCACCCCGCCGCTGCCCCCTTGGAAAACTGCCGCCCTCAACCACACCCCCATGGGGGCCTTCACCAAGATCTTCCTCAAGTTTCCCCGCAAGTTCTGGGATGATCAGGAGATGATTTTGCACGTGAGCCAACGCAAGGGCTACTATCCGTTCTTCATCAACATGGAGGCCAAGGGCCTGCTTCCGTCGGGCAACAACATCCTGGTAGGCTTCTTGGTGGGTGCCGAGGCCCAGCGTGTGGAGAGTCAACCGTTGGACACCACCAGGGAGGAAGTAGTCGCTGTCCTGAGGGGCATGTACGGGGCGCAGGTGGTGCCTGACCCGACCGAGATCCAGCTGTCGGGCTGGCTCAACGACCCCCTCCAGATGGGGGCCTACTCTGCCCCCGTCCGCGACGGCATCCCCAGCAAAACCCTGCAGCGGCTGCAGACCCGAGTTGGTCGAGTTTACTTCGCTGGCGAGGCCACAGACGAGAAGTACTCCGGTTTTGTGGTTGGTGGTATGAGGAGTGGAAAGCGAGAGGCCAAAAAGATAATGCGGCAGGTCTTGAAGTGGGAAGTAAAACAGAATAATTTTCCCACCTATTGATCGACGATGACTGCGTGATATAAAGAAAGTGCGAGATATTACACAGCAGTTGGAAAATCGGCACGATTAAAAATACAACAAAATACACAAATTTCTTTTCAGAAACTTGATGCCTCGGCCTCTCCTGTCTGTTCCTCATTCCACAGGTCGCCAGTCTTTCCATCTCTTCTTGAGTCCTTGTGTTAGACTTTGTGCAAAGATCTTGGTTGTACATCAGCTAGTGCACGATTGTAATTAGCTGTCTGTCAAATTATTGCTCTGCTTTGTAACTTGTGTTTAATATACCCCCTCCCCCCAAAAAAAGATTGCACCAGAATTTAAATGAAGAAAAAAAAGAAAATGAAAAAAAAAGAATTAAAAGAAAAAAATAAATAAAAAAACAAAAAAAATTAAAAAAATTAAAAAAGATGTATCTTTAGTAATAAAACATACTAATTAAATGTGCATGTACAGGATGAAATATGTTACTGAAAATTTCTAGTAGTTTTAAACACATTTATGAATATGATAATCAAGAGTTGAGATTAGAACCAGATTGAATATTGTAATGATTAACAGTACCAGGGAGATTTGACTGGATGATGCCCTTTAACTGTTCAAGGAACAAATGACATGCAAATCAGAAATCTGTCATACATCCATGTGTAATACCCCGTTTCATGTATAATTGTACATGTTACATTCCCACGCCTATACAGTTACATGTACATGTATGTGTGCTCCAAGACAGAGGACATGTGTCATGCTATAAATTCGGGGTCAAAAAGTGTTTGGACATTTTTGCGTCCCCATTACACTTGGCCTGTGTCATTTGATGTGGAAATATCACTGAAATTGATTTCAAACTATTTCTATTTGTTTGGCAGGTACGTGTAATTTGCATTAATGCATTACTCTTGGATTTGGAACATTTTATACATTCTGAACTTACAAAATCATACATCAGGAGTGATAGGGACACACACAAAATGGGACCCCTAATTTATAGAATGGCCCACTTAAGTTATTTGCGGGGGATGCCTTTGCTGAATAAATTCTATTTTCAAAAGATACGTGTAGCTTGCCAAGACATGGAAAGAGCAACGGATATCAAATCTGATATTTCATGAATACCCTATTCCACTGAGTCAAGACGCAAATTCTGATTAGTGATCTTTTTAATGAATGGGCACACTGTAATATACACGTAGCTCACCTGTATGTTTAAAAAGTCTGTACTAAATATCAATAGAAGGTGAGAAATTTTGAATGTACTGTTGACTGTTGCTCATTGAAGAGCATAGAATGTAAAATATGTTTAAGTTAATGGACATGATGTAAATTAGCCATCTTGAATATGAATTGCAGAGTAGCATGTGGAATATCACTATGTGGAATATCCAGTGGTTGTTGTTCGTAAACCAGTTTGCCAGCTTCCTTCAAGCTCATTTGTGAAGGTCCTTCTGAACTGACTTTCTGACACACGTAGGTGAAAAATTACACCCAAGAATTAAAAAAGATTGAATACATTTTTATAAATAGGAAATTAGGTTTACACTTTGAATAATTTGTGTTAGAAGTTGAGGGAAACTGCAAATCACACAGAATTCTGCATGCATGCAGAATATGAAGTGCGCAATATAACTGTGCAGAATATCCTTTGCAGAATATCACTATGCGGAATGTCACATACTCTGTGTTGCCTTGAATTAGTGTCTTAATTTTAGATCACTTTACTGCTTGTCAATTACCTTGAAAATTGTTCCCTTTAAATTGATTAAAGCTAATCTCTAATTAGGTGCAGTTTTCAAAATGGGCTCAGCAGTTCATTAATGAGGGAGTTTAGGGTTCCGGTACAATTTGATTTGATTCAGTTCATTGGTGGTTGCATGTTAAAACAGCAACAGTTAAAAACTAAACATTTAAAACAAGCCCAAATAACAGGAAAAAACAGACAAGAAAACAAAATTGATTAAAAATAAAGAACCAACATAAAATTATAAAAGGAGAAACAAACATGTACAGCTGTATAAATTGGAGGAAATTTAGTGGTGTTTGTAATTTAGAGGAAACCTGCAGTTACATGTATTTGATAGTTGTTAAACACATCATTCCAAGTCTACAGAGCAAAATGACTGTTGTATAGGATGTATTCTAATTTTTGATAATTAGTTATAAGTAATTGAATAGAAAAATGATCAGGTTTGGTATGGTTATTTTGTGCACAAAACTTTAAATAGCTCCCAAATGAGCTTTCCTTTCCTTAGTGTTTTACACTGATAAAATGTTCAAGTTCACCCTTTGTATGCTTTGCAAGCCAATGTAGCTGCTTGTAAATCTTGGTATATTTTTGATTAGCTTTTAGTCCATGTGTGGCAGAGTGTTTTCCATTGATTGTAGTTTTTACAGTTTATATTTTTTTCCTTCATACAGTTATACATGTACATCTACTTTCATTTTTGAAACGCCTTGATTTTGTTTCTCGTCAGTTGTTTTGATTTGGGCAAATTTGCAAATTAGGATTAATAAAGGATTATTGGTGAAGCCTATTTATCCATGCAGTAATGAAGTGTGATTTGGTTACTGGTAGGAGTTTCACATAGTTTCTGAACTGAATTTTGCAATACTTGGAGGGGGGAAGCCGTTATTTTTAAATCCCTGAAATTGTGATTCAAGTCTTGGTTCTTGAACGGGAGAAAGGAGAACCCCCCCCAAAAAAAACCCACAAAAACAAAAACAGATGAAGTTTCATTCCAATAACCCTAGACACTGCACAGTCACTTTTTGCTGAATGGTTGTCACGAGAACAGGGCTCATTTCCTGTGATCTTTACACCATGCATAGCCTCACCTTGCCACCTGTCTCAAGGACAGGTTTTGCTTGAATTTCTAAAGGGTGAAAAAAAGGTAATTTTCTGAAAATCTCAGTCTTAGAAATGCCAGGGAAACTAAGTGCACGTGTAAAGAAATCCACAATTTCCACATACCGGTAACATGCATTCTCCCAAATTCTCAAAAATTACTACTTTTGTGAAACATTCTGTCAGTTTCAGAATGACTTGAAACAAGACTACGTACCTTGTCAAAAAGTCTGATCTGCAGCACATAACTTCATGACCTTTTAGAAAGACTGGGTATTTTGAGTAAATTAGGCTATGAATTTTGCAGTGTTAACAAAAGAAATGTGGCTAGGGAAATCTTCAGTTATTTCGCAGAAGCACAGTAAACTGAAGCTTATTTTCCCGACCAAGGTTTCAATAGTTATTGTGTACAGTGGGTATTGTATGCAAATCAGTACCATTGGGATGTAAACAAGTAAATGAAACCTGTCTGACCTCTGTAGCCTACTGGTGTGTTGCACCATGCAAGTACATGTAGTTTAGTCGCAATTTCAATAATGTGTAGGTATGCACACTGCCCTTGACCTCTCCAGGAAAAGCAATTAGTGCATCAATTTGATTCCTGTCTTGACAGGGACGCAAGAGCCCTTTGCCTGATGTCATCACTAGGCCAGTTCATACGTTTAAGAAGGCAATTGATGGGACTGTGTTTAATGAATTTATTGACAAAGCTGCCACGGGAGCTATGCAGTCACCATGGACATGAAAATTTCACTTACATGTACATGAGGTTGCATTAGAGTTGTGAAGTGAAATATGATGTTTACCCTTATACCGGATGGAAAGTATGCGGTTGCATTGACCAAAATGCACTGTTTAGACACAAAATGGTTATGAAGTTCTAATTTTTGTCAGGGTTGCATGCCTTTGAAAAAAAGCAAAATTATAAATGAAAAAAAAAAAAAGGTTTAAGGCACTGGGGTCTATGCTAAATGTTACGAGTGGAATCAAGAAAGAAATTTCCCTGAGATCTCATAATGTATTTTGCTTTTCAATTTCTGTGACGTTTATTCTAAAAGCAGGCTTGACTAGATTCCACAATATGAGTTCCACATCAGAAAGAGAAACAGCTCCTTGTTTTGATGTACATGCGGTTTCCAAAGTGTAGTTTTTGTGTCATTGTACACAGCAGTAGGCCAGTGGGCCAAGTTGCCTTGAAATGTTCAGACTGTACATTTTCAAGCAGCACATTCTGAGCTCATGTTTTGAACGGATAAACCTCATAAAATGGACAGCGTCTTCCTGAAATGACACTGCAGCAACAGGGAAAAGCATGGAGAATTTATTTTAATAAAAGTACTTTTTAGTAAGATCACACATAAGAGTCTTGATACATGTAGAAGGGGAATAGAAAGTTACCCAGGCTTGCATGTACTCCAAGTAAAAATTCATGTCTTGGACCCTCGTAAGTAATGCATCCAGGCATTTTGAAAGATGCTGTTGGCCCTGCATAAAAGCTGTTCAGCCCTCCATATCTTAAGCAGAATTTTACAATGTCAAACTCAAATATGTGCAAAACATTTGAAGAACCTTTTGCAATTAATCAGTCTGAGGTTGATTTGTACATCAGAAGTAAATCAGCCAGTCCCAGAAAAATCTTGAAGATTTGGTTCTGTGCGGTATTAAATAATCAAAAATACAGAAAATCTTTGTCAATCCAGTCCATAGCTGAGCTTGTGACAGTGAGCCTCGTTATATAAGTCCAGATGTTGTGACATCAGATAACAGGTTTGGGTCTTTGCCAAAGGGATGGTCCAATCAGCTCTCATCCATCCAGGGTTTCTTTTTTCACAGTATCGCTTTCAGAGGTTAAGCAGATAGTTGGATTTCAGGAACCCTGGGAGATAAATCATGTGACCGAAACTTTACAATGGGGGTTTATCTCTGTAGAATCTGATCACTCAGAGAGGGGGCTGCTCAAATGGGTGGCACAGGGTGGCTGGTGGGTGATGTGCAAGCCTCTCACTGCTGTGGTCTCGGATTTGATTCCCCGCCTGGGCCATATTATATGAATAGAGTTATACTTGGTTCTCTCCTATGCCATGAGGGTTCTTCTCCAGGTTGTCATTCCTCCAGCACTTTTGATCTTTTGCCCCTGTACTCGGGCCAGATGTGGGCTTTTAGTGGCTGCCTGAATTTTCATTATATGCCTTTCAGCACAACCACGACTGTAACGGGTGTGAGTGGCCACTTGAATTAAAGCTGAAAACAGCTATATGTATCAACAAGCTGAAATGTAAGAAGTCCCCACAGTTTGTACACAGCAGGTGCACTAAAAGCTGAAAGTCAGGGCCAACATCTAAACAAAAAAAAGGTGAAATTGGCTAAAAAGCTGAATGTTCATACCCCTGCTGTAGTTAACGTGTCTCTATTGCACAGTGCATTTGAACATGCATGCTGTATGGATAACTATGTGCTTAAATGAATATGTATGTATCCACTATCCAGCCTGTCATACTCGTACAGGCTAGGCCCCTTCAGCCTTAGGGCGCGTATCACATCCGGGGCCGCAAGCATTTCCCTGCCAGCACCCTCCACATAGATCAGCGCGTTGTGCACAAACTCCTGCAGCTACTGCCGCAGTCCCTCCCTCGCCTCGTGGTACTGGAGAGCAGAGATCCGTTGCATCCCACCCCATCGGGCCAGCTGATGCATAGTCAGGACCCCTAGAGGCAGGGGGACGAAGATGAGTTTGCGGTGGCGCCATATGCCCTCTTTGCTGACACCCTTCTAGTCTGGTTGCCTGCCCAAAGATTCCCTGACGACCCTTGATAAAGAATCTTAGGTCAAGCATCACCCACACATATAAATGGATATGACACAAGGGTCAGAGGTCACAAGTTGAAAGCCCGGATATTTTCGATTTCATTCCCTTACGTGGTGGGTTCCAATTCAGATGAGTGTTCCCTATAGTAATGAGGCGAATTTGAAAAAAATCTCAGAAAATTAAAAATCCTACATTTCAAAGCATTTTGAAATTCTTTTAGTTGATCAATTCTTGTACAGCACCCTTTCTGAGCCCACTCATGTCCTCTTGTTTCTCTCTATTTCACTGCACTTGCTTAAAAAGTCTTCAACAGCTTCAACTTGAAGTCCAGATAGGAGATAAACGGGATAGCACCCTGAACATTTTATCAAAAGGTGAACAGGTAGGCTCAAAGAACCGATTTGAAAGGTTGGCAGCGTGGGACAGACATGGACATGCAGTTGCACCCCCTTGAATCAACAGTAACTGTATGGATGTTCACCAGCCCGTGGCCCTCCGGATGTTCACCAGCCCGTGGCCCTCAAATGAACCTCGACATGCACGTCTATCAGTCCATAATAACAACACGTCCCTAACCTGCAGAAATTCCCCACTCCATTATCAGCATGGATGCTGCCGGGCAGCATACATCTACCTCCATTTTGTCACAAAGACCAAGGCTCAGGCTCGGAGGAAATCATGCATGCATCACTGGTTGTTCGGTACACATAACAAAGGTACAGTACATTTATGGCAGACACAACTACCAGCAAATTGCCAACACTGCCCTATCAATTCCACAGACATCAGGATGATACTTCATCAGGGGCTGAACACAGTACACTCACAGAATGGTGGTGAAGGACAGAGGTCAGAGCTGTCAACACTCTGGCAAGAGCAATTAATAAGTTTGTTTGTAGAGGATCAAGGGACTTAAAAAAACCTTGAAACCGGTGGAAGTTTCCCAAAAATGTATGGGGTAGCTCTTCAAGGCTCACATGCGACAGTGAAAGCAAACTGCTATTCGGCATTGAAAAAAGTGCATACAGATGTTTAACCTGGCAGCAAACTTCATCATATACACATGTACACCATGTGTGCATGTGCTCTCCTCATTCTTCAGCTGGCAAAGTACATATAATTTGGCAAAATGCACTGGCAAGGTCTAATGATGACCAGGCATGCCAAAGATTGGCCACGTGAGACCTCTGTGACTGTAGGGTCAAAATAATGAGGTCAGGCTTTGTTTACATGTGTCCTTTCCCATGGCAGTGAGGTGGCATAGGATCTGTCCAGTCTCCGGTCACAGTGGCTATTTTTGACCAGTGTTTAAGACCTCTGTTTCTTTCACGGACTCTTCATTTCATTTAGAAATGTTTTTTTTTTTTGTTTCATTTGACTGAAAGGTTTCTTGCAATATTCAGCCATTTGTGAAGCCACAAAAAAAATAATCGTATGCAAATGATACTAACGATTAAGCAACCTGTGGCTTTATGGTTCCGGTTCTGCCAGAAAATCCAAAAATCAATTTGACAGCTGTGCTGGATTACTCTTTTATTTAAATCCATTTGAGATATTTCTCACTTCATTGAACAGATAGCAGGCATAAATTTCACCCGAGTCACCCTCGGTGAATTCCAGAAAGACAACAAAATGAAAGAAAGTGAGTTGAGTTTTCATACTACCTACGTTGTCTCATTTATTACTCAAACAATCTGAAATAGAGACAGGAAAGAGAAATTGACACATCAACCATGTCAACACTCTGCTTTACAAAATTCACGAAAAATGTAACCGATCAGGGAAGATAATTAGATCTATTAACCCTAACCCCTCGGGTGTATGTAAAATCGTATTGAAATTGGAGGATTTGGGACTGTTAGGTTTAAAAAAACCACCATACTCCATGAAGCATTCTTGCCATCTACAGACACCCAGCGACTTTCTGTACAGGGTTCTATTTACAAATTTGTTCAGGTGTAATGGAGTACAATCAAAGCTGTCAAGTGAGAGAGAAACCCGCAGACGGTACAAGAAAACGGTTCAGAAACTATAAAAGGGACTGCGGGTGCATTTGAATACAATGCATCCCCGTAGTGAAAGGGCAACAGGTATAATACTGTGCATCCTCAGCACATGTGCAGTACACATGTACATTTATTTACAGCAGGTGGATTGTTACAATGGACTGCAGCCCTATTGAAACACAATGTAATGTTTGTCCGGCTAAAAATATCTCTGAAGGTAGGCGAATCATTCTGCATCCGGTGACTGAATTGCACAACACAAAGGAAGGTTATCAGTGGGCAACTGCCACTGAACTGTGAACTGCAGAAGAACCCCTTCAAGAATGGTAGAGATTCGACCTCCAGTTTCGGGGATAGAGATTGCCTATCTTTGAAGTACATTCTAAACCTGGCAATTGTTAGTTTCAATTTCTTTGTCCTCTACTTCCACCAAAAATACTTCAATATTTGATTACAATTTACACGTAC